TTGAAACACATTTATTTTGAGTTTTGAAAAACATTTATATTGTATGAAATATATATCTATATTGTTTTTAGGTGGATGGTAAAATGATAAAACAACTAAAGTATCATTATAATTCTATATATTTTTGCATTCATTAATTTTTAATATTGAATTTCATTTATTAAGTTTTGTATATATATATATATATATATATATATATATAAATGTAGGAAACTTATATTTATTTGTTTAGTAGACAGAGATTAACGTGTACCAAAATCAGCATTCAGTCAAAACCTAAATTAAAAAAAAAAAAAGAAATAATATAAAATTAACTTAATAACATTTATTTGATGTATTAAACATTTAAATAGAATATAAATAAAATAATGTATATGACAAAAATAACAGAGAAAGGACATACCTTGGGTTGTCTGCAACTGATAGTTTCTAAATGGTCAGAATTTGGAACAACCGCGCTGAGTCCCTAGCTCTTTAAGTGACGACAGCCAATGGGGGAAGGCATATATCCCGGCTACACCAGTGACCCAAATCACTGCCAGTAAGGCATATATCCCATCTGCACCAGTGACCCAACTTCTAACGGGAAGGTATATATCCCTTCCGCAGTTAAAGGATTAACAGTGACTGTGCAATAGCCGAAAAACATCTTTTTATATAGATTTTTGCTCCAAAACGGATCAATAGTTATCATTAATAAGGACCTGACCATTATGATGTCACTTTCATAAAACTCTTCAACTATTTGTATATGAGATATATTTTCCAGAAAAAACAAATATATGAATCAAAGGTTTGAGTTCTACCAATGGGTAGTTTGAGTTCTACCAATGCGTAGTTTCTCTTCATGTTGTACATGCCATGTTACAAATTTCTCATTTACTTATTGTATTCTCTATGTAATACAGTTGTAAATTCCATTAAAATAATAAAAAAAAAAAAAAAAATGAATCAAAGAAAAGAATAATTTATTTTGCTGTGAACCATTGTAATCAATAAAGAAAAAAATTAACACTCCCTTTCAAAAGTGGTGATCCCTAAACCTCAAAAAAGTCTGAGGTCACTTTTAATCCAAAACTTAACATTAATGTCAACTTTTTTTTATTTCTTATGATGTATTTGAGCAAATAAAATTTGAATTATTCTTCAAACATTTTTCTGAAAATTGACAATAGATAAGTGTCAAGTTGAAAGGCAACATAGTTGGGTAAATTAAAATATTTCTGAACCAAATAAATGCATTATAATTTTCTTAATCAATATCCCATTTAATTTTATTTTAACTATTTAAATTATTAAGAAATTTGGTTTCAACTGTAGAAATTATTGAAAGCTTTTCTTTCATTATTGACATTGATGGGACATTTGGTTCCAAATATAAAGACTATGAAATTACAGATTTTGTAGAAATTAAGTTGTGATTACAAATTAAAAACAGAATGTATTTACTAATTTAGCAATTAATATTGTTTCCACACACATCTTTGAAAATCATCTTCCAAAACAAGGGCATGTTCCAGCCAATAACTTCATTATTCATGAAACAATTGATGAAACTTCATGAAACAATTGATGAGTTAACTAACAATGGGAGGTCAAAGTCGCAGGGACAGTGATTTCGACCAAATTTTTTTAATTCTAAATCAAAATACATTAGACACCTGTCCTGGCTTTTGTTCCAATGGGCCTTAGGAGCCAAAGAAAAAATTATTTTATATAATTTCAGAAAAAAATTATAATTATAGAATCAATTAATGGTGTTGAGATGGTTGACTATGATATAATATGAGGAGTTAGTCGGGGGGTGCAGTCAAATAAATACTAAATTTTTACAATAGTATTTTAATTACATTTCGACCCACTTTGTTGGTCTTCAAGACATTTCTTGAAGACCTACAAAGTGGTACTTAGGTCTTGAAGACCTACAGAGTGGGTTGAAACGTCGGCGAAACAATTAAAATACTATTGTAAAAATTTAGTATTTATTTGACCACACCCTCCCCCCACCAACTCCTTCTCATATGGAATTAAATGAGTTAAAACCTATCACAAATTACAGAAACCAAAAGACGCTTCCAGGAAAATAAGCTAAATAGTTTTTATGTAAAATCAAGTCGGATATGTTTTAAATGACCTTTAAAATTCTCAAATACGAATTTTAATAAAAATCAAAAATACAAACTTAAGTACTTGATTATCTTGGAAGATATCTTTTTTCTTCTGCTAACTAAAACATTTAAAATTCATCAGGATTTTATCCAAAATTCAATATTAACACAAGTCTTTGAAAGTTGAATTACTGTTCTTCCATCAGATATCAATAACTTTTAGGAGACGAAAAAAGTGCATTATTTTTGTTCTATGAGCATTATATTTTCAGTTCAATTTATTTTTGCAGGCCTAAGACAAAGATATAATGCTCCATGTAACTTTTTTGATTATATTTCTGCCAAATAATCTTTTAGAGCCATTACTTCTAATTTATAACTTTTTAGTAACTTTGAAAAACAGATATTAGTTAGGTAAAAAGCAATCAAATTTTATGCAGTCAATCAAATCAAATCATGAAAGAAACTAATGTCAGTTTCCAAAATTTAGAGAAACAATACTTCAAATGAACATTTGATTGGAAAGCAAGTATTTGATCACATGGGTTATTCACTTTTTTGTCTCTCATTGTAGGAACAGAGTGCATGTGCTCCATTTTGGAATAGTCGATAAGTCTCGCATTTAACGTACTCAACTTCATATGGACATGGTTTGATTCACCAATGCTTGGTAAGTTCTAGGTGAACTGCTGATGTGTACTTCACTTCGTTTCTGAGCTTCTTGTGACTTTGAAGATATATTGGTTAGAAAAAATGAAACTAGTTCTTTTTTTCGTCTCGTGTTCAATTTTCCAATTAATGAAATCAATTTTCAGTCTCTCAATATCTGGAATTCGGCAGCATTGAAGCTTTTTTCAGTGAAGCTCATTTTGCAGTTGCCAGGAGAAATTTTTTTTATTTGATTTTAAAGTTCTACTTATCATGAAACTGGTTGGAGGGAGGGTAAGTTTTTGTATTTTTTTTGACGATTACAATGGTTCATTATTTAAAATAATAAACAAAAAAAAAACCAATCTAGATAAAAATGATTTATAAAATTTTTTATTCTTCAATTGTTGTACAAATTTGTATTTAAGGTGCATAGAGCAAATATAAACTTCGTTTCTTCCTTAAAGGAATCTTTTATCTAGATACTGGGCCAGTTTGGAAAAAATATTACATTTAGCAGATACCTATAGTAGAAGGACAATATTTAAATAAATTAGACCAACTAGCGTATTAATGTAGGGGCAAACATTTTTATAAGGGGGAAAAAAAGCTGATATTAATTTTTCGCACATCAAAATATCCTTAAATACAAATTTTTACAGCAATTTAAAATTTTTCCAAAAACTTTAGATTACTGAGAAAATAGAAATAATGTAAATGGATACCATCAGAAAAATAATAATGACGATCTATTTAAAAATAAAATTTAATAAAACCAGTAAAAATAACTTCAAAATAAGAATAACAATTGTAAAAAAATATGACAGGATTTATACAAAATTTTAAGTTATCACATAAATAATTTCCTTTTAATTGGTATATATAATATATCTCTACTGTTCATGGTTAACAAAAAAATTGACCCATTTAATTTAATATACAAACATACCTTCATAGCAGATATAACCAATTGAAAAGGTAGAAAGGTAATATACACAAAAATTATCACCAACCCAAACACTTTGAGTAACTTACTATCAAAGGTGTAAACTTACTTAATTTTACTTTGAAATAAACAATAATCGGTCAAATTTAAATTAATTGAAATAATACGAAATGATAGTCGTTAAAAGATACTCTAATACTTCTAAAACTAATATAATGTCTTTGATTTATAATAGATTATTGAATATTCTATTCTATACACTGCAGTAATCAAACTGCTGGGTAAACAAGAACAATACATATAAACTTTCCGTAATAATAACAGAAAGTTTTACAAACTAAAATAAACAATACAATTAAAGTAAGGCCTCAATTATATGACCATTGGTAAAGTGAAACATTGATTGTTCAAACCAAAGGGAATCCTTATCCTTATTCTTCAATTCATGGACAAATGGGTAATCATAAGTCCAAAAGATTCTATTAACAAATTCATTCCATGAATAACAGAAGTGAAGTTGGTAACAAAAGTCATAAGCACACTGACACCATTACCATTTATTTTTTAAGGCCACACCTATAACAGCTCTTAAGCCTGAAAGTCAATTGAATATCAAAATTTCAAACAAATCGCACACGATACTTGATAGGAAAACTAGTTCAGCTTCTTTTATGTATTCATTTAATCGGCTCAGAAAAGTGATTATACGGCTCCATTGAAGTGAGACAAAGAGCACTGCATAAATTGGGCAATAAAATCATACAAGTTCCTTAGTAGATTACAATCCCCTAGCACATCCCAAATAAAAAGATACATATTTATGTAGTTTAAATATGATGATTTATAGCTCTTTTGCCTAATTAAGTACAAACCTTAAGATAACCTCATTTTTTGGAATAAGTGACTATTAATAAACAACTACCATACAAATTTAATTCCACTAATAAAGAGTAATAATTAAATCCAGGCTAAGATTTTTTTCTGCAATACTAACAACCCTTGATCCCAATCAGGTCATATAATCGATCGATACCCTACTGAAATGTATTCAAATGAAACAGTTAAGATTAAACATATGCAGTAATTTTTAGGACTTTAGTTCATATTTTGAACCCTTCAAAACCATTATTTTATTTTCAACAGAAAAAAGATGAAATAAAAATAAATAAATCTATTAATATCTTGAAATATAATTAATTGATGGTTGAAAGGAAAATATAAAAGCAAAGATTACCCAAACATTAGTACTTAAATTAAATAGAATAAATAAATAAATAAAAATATTGTTCACAATCAGACCGGTATTACCTCCTTTGTATTTTTTTAAAAATCATTATAGTTTATTTCTGTAACAGAATTGTTTAGACATATTATTTATATACATTTATAAAATGAAATAATACAAAATCGAGATCTAACAATATTTGGTTAAGACTGAGTATCGTAATTTATACATTATTATGTTTTGAATTAATGTTATAAATAAATATAACTAATATTACTACTATAAGACAATATTCATCAATGAAAAAATCAGTCTTATTCTTTCAAAGGGTAATATCAAAAGCTATTAAGTGTTTCCGTGTAATGTTAAGGCACGAAGACCAGTTTGATTGACCTTCTTAACAGCATCAAAAACACCATTACCATAATTTAGAGTGTTTGATACAGCTCCAAAAACTCTATTTACGAGACCATTAGAAGCTGGTTTAGCAGTTGAAACAGAAATTTGATTACCTGAAACAAGTATAATATAAATCAATTAACATTCAAAACATGAGGACATGATTTTATTCCAATTAGCAGTCATATCTGAGGAAAATAATCACAAGTTTTGAGGCCAGACTGTCCCCAAATGTACAGTACGACCTCAAGAATTCAAACTTTAGTACTCTAATCCAGACTTGGGCAGTATTTCAAATAAAGTACTTTAAAATATATTTTTAGTATTTGCACTTTAAGAAATAAAATATAATATAAATTGCTTGTAACTGTATTTTCCTCTTTTTAGAGGATGGGATGGCCGAATGGGCTAAAGCATGTGCACAGCACCGCAGAGGGAGGGGATTTTAAATTCCCCGCCCTCACTTTTTGGCTCATAAAAAAAAAATAAAATAAGAGATTCTGAAAGCCAGAGAAGTGAAAAACACCCTTCTACCTAGTCGAATTTATGGAAATTTTTTTAGGTCATATGCAAACAAGCAAGCACACTCTTCCCGTATTTATTGTCCAGAAAATCCTCATCTTCTTTCACAATAATAGAATGACAGTAAAGCATGAGAATGCAGTGCTCATTTCTATTACTATATTTGATGGGCATCATAGAACAATACACCATGGCAAAAAATCCATCTCCTACAATGTCCCAAAGAAGAAGCAGTTAGGAATATCCTCCAAAAGTTAAAATAAAAAAATAACAGGGTTCTTTAAAATAAACTGATTTGTATAAGCCTATGTATCCAGCTAATAATTTTATATATATTTATTCAATTTTAATCTTTTATAGTAAATAATTTTCCCAAACACCATTTTAATTACAATTTTTTAAACCCACAACGTTAGCTCAGATTACTGAGATTGAGCTATGAACTGCATTATGAAGCTAAATAATATATTTTTTTGTAATATAATTAACACTTATGATTATAAACATAATAAAAATGCAAATTTTAATTCTTTATATAATTTTTTTTTTTTAGATGTATAGAGATGAATACAATTTTGTTTATAATATTTTTTAATACTTAGTATTACTAATGTACGATATATTCCTTTCTTAAATAAAGTATCTTTTATTTATCACATTTATATGTACAATGGTTAATATATTTCTAAATTAATTATAAATGTTTTTTAATTAATTTTAGATTTAGAGATCATAATTGGTAATTTTTAACTTGAACCAAATAAAATTCATTAAAATCACTTTCATCTGTATTTTTATCCAAGCAATCTTCGGATCATGATAAGAGCTCTCAATCATTACTTGGATAAATATCATGGCTTTTCCATGCCAAAAGTTATGCTATGCAGAAATTATGAAAGTTGGAAACACAAACTGAAAATCACAGCACATATTCCTATAAAATGTATTATGCATTGTAGGCGTACCTACTCATTAATAAATACATTAAACATTAACTACTTTTTAAAAGTTATAATTAGGTTGAGTAATGTTATATGAATAATGTAATATTGAGTTGAGTATTTGATAATAACAATTCAGCAGAAGTATGAACATCTGATTGGAATCACTTTGTGTTAAGCTATAAATCAGTCAATATGGTTAATGGCCAAATATATATGATTAAATATAAATACAAAATTATTCAAATCATTCAAGTATTCGTTAATAACTTACCTCTAAGAAAATTAATCAGAATTTTATTCACTTCTTGAGGCTTTTCTTGATGAACATAACGGGAAGCATTTTCAACAATTTTGAGGGTATATTTTTCAATATAATCTGTTGACCTGATAACACATTCAAAAAATTCTCTAGGTTCCTGATTTCCAACTATCAACAATGTAGGAACATCAATGCTTCCTTCAGCAGCTTGTACCCTCCACAATGATAAGGTACGGAGATAGTTTATTGGCCCAGTCCAGTCCTCTAAAAATATAAATAACTTTGAATTGTTGATTTCTTGTTTCTGGATTTAATTACAAGTAAAATTTGAATATATAGATGAAAAAAATTATTCTCTATTCAATACATTCTGGGATCATTTTATTATTAATATTATAATATTTACCTTATTTATTATTTACATATCCTTATGTATATATAATCTTAAATATGAGGCAGAGATGAACTCTGGAATGTTCTTTTGCAGCCACTGCTGAGTTGACCTGGCCTTGTGTGCTGGAGCAGAATCCTGCTGGAAAACCCAATTACTTCCAGCTAACAAAGTATCATTTGGAGGCTTGACAACAGGTTCCAAAATCGTCCTGATAGTTTATAGCGGCTGTTTTAACTGCTTTTTCACAAAAATAGAGCTTTGTGGTGTCATCAAAGCAAACTCTCCACCAAACCATCACTGAGGAAGGGTGATGACCTCTCTCCACTCTTCCTATGACTTCCGGAGCTTCTTTAGAGCTCTGTGCGTACACACGATCATTTTGGCGATTAAATCTTTCTTCAATTGTAAACATTTTCTCATCGCTAAACAAAATCTTTTGATGAAGACCACTGGTGTAACAGCCAAGGAGCACTTTGCATCTATCCAACCTAATTTTTTTTAGGAAAGTGGTCCTGTCATTCTTCGAAATATACCCATCCTAAGGTCACTTTCTATCATGCGAGACATTAATCTGACAGAGGTTCCCATTTCCCGAGATATGATTTGTTGTTTTCCAATAGGATTTCTTCTGATTTGAGCAGCCACTGCTCTCACTGCATTTGCTGTTCCCACAGTGCGGGGACGGACCAGCCCAGTTGAGGTCTGTCACATATAGATAGGGTTTCATTATATCTATTTATAGTGTGGTACACGAATATATGGCTGATACCTAAAGGTTTCAAAGTTTTGAAAATCTCTGACCTATATTTTGCAACTTTGTGTAAAGCGATCATAGCTATTCGGTTTTCTTTATCGCCCCTCTCCATGTTAACTAAGCGAAAGAAAAATACAAACTAATTGGGAATATTATCCTGACATATAAAGAAAACAATCTGATAGAGGTAAGGATTATCTAAATAATACCCAAGGATGTAAACAAAGTTCAACTTTTGTTTAACAGTATTTATGGCAGAACTAGGTAGTTAGTCTAAATACAAATGTGATATGCTACCGTCTTATAATTACTTGCTTGTAATAGCATAAATTTTCTTGTAAAATTTTAGTGTTTGGTCAATCTTCCGTAAATATTGGATAGTAATATTATATTAATATTGTTAATTCTGACTTGAAAACAGACAATATACAGACCAAACGTTGAATGAATAAATGATAATGAAGTTTAAAGGAGTTATATTTTCCTAAAAATTATACAGTCAATATTTATACAATCATTATATAATTTGCAGGTCAGAAAAAGTTAAATTTAGTGGAGTACTTACCAACATGGTAAATGTTACCAAAATTTATAAACCAGCAATTAATGCCACTACAATAAAAACTAACCTTTAAATAAGATACGAACCTTTACGAGAGAAAGCATATTTGTATGCATTCAGAAAGGATTTGTTCTCTACTGTGTTGTTGAGATGCTTATAAACATTATTAATGACTGTCAAATCATTGTCCAATGTTTCCATTTCTGGAAGAGAAGGTAATTGGCAAAACTGTAACCATCTGGAAATAACCATAGCTTTAAATTAGAAAAACTGAAATACTCATTTGGAAACATTTTGAAAAACTTTTTTTTCCATTTAGTCAGTGGAATAAATCATATAATACTTCACATTATAATTATATATATATATATATATATATATATATATATATATATATATATATATATATATATATATATATATATATATATATATATTTATATATTTATTTATTTATTTATTTAAATGTAACAGTAAAAATTAATAAATGTAAAAATATACAGAATTAAAATGTTTATCATTTTCCCATCCACCTAAAAACAATATACATTTCATATAATATAAAAGTGTTTGAAATTCAAAATAAATGTAAGTGCAATAATATAAAATTTATAACTGCGCTGTTTCAATATGGAATTTTTTTTAGGTAAAAAATAAATTTTTATATACAAAGAAATACATAATTTGAATCCCGCCATCGGTGTCCTTTTTTCAGAAATAATATAATTTATTTTTTATATCACTTACAGTTATTTTTATGATCATTTTCAGTTATTTTCAGAAATGTTCAAATACTTAAGACAGTGAGTATTCGGGATTGCCGCTCTAATTTTTCATTACCATATGCGACCGGGAAGGCATATCTCCCAATTGTTAAAAAAGTTAAATAAAAACGTTGAAATGCATTTTTGAAATCTAAAGATCTTGCAGGATGACTCAAAATAATATTTTAAACAACTTTAAGGGGGAAAAAAATTTGTTTTTCTGAATGTCTTTTTGGACCCGCCATCTGGTAGAAACAATCGAATGAGGTCCCAAAGCCAAAGGGTAACAGTCTATTTCTTAAACACAACATAATTTAAAACACCAAATATTGTTTATGGAAAGAACTAAAAATTTAAAATAAAAATTTAAACAGATAGAAATTAATTATTTAAAAATATCATTTTAAGAATTTAGTTTGTCACACAGATAACTTAAATACAGTTCTGTTCAACACTGATTTCACTATTCAGAAACCTTAATTATATTCACATGAGTACATTATTACAAAACTAATAAGTTTAAAATAGATAAAAGAAAAACAAAAGATTAAATAAAAAGTTGAAACAAGTTTATGAATAAAATAAGGACCAAATATATGACAAACAAAATTATTTCATCTTGCTTAGATAAGGTAAGAGTATTTCAAAAAGGTTCAAAGGTGTGTATGATCAGTCATTAATGAAGGAGAAAAAAAAGAATGCCAATATGCATGACATTTTTAATTACTTCCAATCTTAATGACATAATAATTATGAGATAAAACATCATTTATTTGTCATTTTTATCTCAAAATATCGTTAACAAATCTATTCTAGTATTTTATAAAATACTATTTATATATTTTGAAATACTTACCGTACATTAAAAGGGCTACTATTGCTGAAGGAACTCCAATAAAGATTTGGATGGGGAGCAGATATAGCAACAAATTTTTGTACAATCTCAGGATGTAAATGAACCATCAACCAGCCAATAAAACCACCCAAATCATGTCCTATTACTGTACATTTTTTATAGCCAAGAAAAACAATAAGTTCATTGAGTTCATCAATAATCCTGTTGATTCCATAATTTGAACGTGATTCTGGTTTATCAGAGTCACCAAATCCTTTCAAATCAACAGCAACTACCCTTTAAACAAAATAAAAATAAAATTATTTTAGGTTTTAATTGGAAATATTACAAATATCACTTATCATATTTTATGAATCATGCTAAAGATAAACTAATGACTTTAGAACCTGAAGTATTTAGAGAGTTCAGGAATCTGATTTTGCCAAGTAATCCAGAAGTCTGGAAATCCATGCAACATAACAACTAAGGGCTGTCCTCTAATTCCGGCCTCAACATAATGAAATTTGACTCCCTAAAATTCATTGTAATCAAAGTGATTACAATCATAATTTAAGATGTAATATTACTAGAAATAAAAATTAAAACCAAGATTAAAAGTATTCGTATTACCTTAATTTTAATGTAGGAATGATGACCAAGAGACGAATCTGTAAGGCACGCAGGAGGGTTTCCGATCACGGCATTTTCCTTTCCAGAGGATACAAACAACTTTTTAAAGGAAAATTTTAAAATTGACCAAACACCCCAAAATAGCGAAAATATTCTTATTTTAAAAATTTCAAAAGTAGGAAGCTTAATTATCTCGGCAGTTCTTTCATAATCAACCATCTCTAACAGCCGAGGAACACGTTAATTCAACACTATCAGCCCTATCACTGGCCGAACAGCAGTTGATCTCGGGCATCATTAAATCAATCAGCTGTTTATCTAAAGTAGTTGATAAGCCAATTAACGTCTAGGGGCGACATGCCAAGACGAAATTTTCACTTTATTAAATTGATTTAAACATTTTATTATAGTCTTTGGCGTAAATTCTTAGGCACGTAACATTTTAAATGAAATGCATGAATCTGATTTTGATAAAGGTGATAAAAAATGGTCAGGATACGATGTAAATAAATATATTGGACATTTACATATTTATTTTAATAGTTTGCTAATACAACAATTTGACATATTTCAATAACAAACAAAGTATGTGGGTAAAAAAATAAACTTTCATTTCATATATTAAACGTTTTAATAGTCAGGTATAAACTTGATTTTTGTCACAGAAGATAATAAAGTTGTTTTGAAAAGTTGTATTATTATTAACCATTTTCTTTTAAACAAGAACATATACATGCAACCTTCCTGTACAAATAATTGCCTATAGAATATTTACACAAGTATGGTAAGCACTCTTTAGCTCACAAGAATGTGAAAATATAAAAAAGTGGATATAAATCGATTTCTGATAAATACACACCTATAAAATAAAATCACATTTAAGTTTTATACTTATGAAGTGCTTTTAACAGTAAACAATCCATCTACTTATGTTGAGCTTAAAACTCTTAAACTCTCTTATATAATAAAAATAAATCACAATTAACAACAGTCACTAAATAATCAAAAATAGTTACAAAATAAATAAACAAACAGTTACAAAATAAACGAAACAAAACAGTTATAATTTATAATATATATCTTAGTTATAAAATTATTATTAATTAATTATTTCAAAAGGAAAGAAACAATAACAAACAGTTATGTCCACCATTAGCATCTTTCCAACCCTAAAAAAAATTGTTTTTCTTTTAAAGAATAGAACAATTGATCAATAATAATGGCAGCTCCATGACTTTTACTCAAAATTTAAAGATGTACCTGTGTATTATACTTATTATATTTTTTTCAAGAGATCCTTCAAATCAACTATAACCCTTGTACATTATCTTAAGAAACCTGGCTCTATTCTATAGAAATTAAATGTATCAAGACAGGTATAACAAAGAACTCTTGTAATAATACATTAATGCACAGGCGGATTTACGAGGGGGGGAGGGAGGGGGGGGGTCTTTCGGGCTGAAGCCCCCCCAAAATGGTAAATTGTAACCATGTTTTATGGTAAAAAATATAAAAAAATTATGTCTTAAAGTATTATTGCTCGTTTAATTACATTTAGCAGGGCTTCAAGAATCACTTAAACACCATTTCATATAGGTAGTTTGTATCTTTCTGTTTTTCCAACGTAATTATCGTTATTTTTATGAAAAAAAAGCTTCCGGGCTGAAGCCCCCCCCCGAAATTAAATCCTGGATCCGCTAGTGCATTAATGTATAACATATTAAATCGAATCCACATAGATTTAATAGGCATTAGCTGTATGAAAACTTAAATAAATAAACCATCTCCAATTCGAGGCCACACTAAGGCCGAGACCAGCAGCGTTTGCCATCTCTTATTTATGCCACTGATAAGTATAATTTAAAAATTAATTTTGATCCTTCAAATCAACTATAACCCTTGTACATTATCTTAAGAAACCTGGCTCTATTCTATAGAAATTAAATGTATCAAGACAGGTAAAACAAAGAACTCTTGTAATAATACATTAATGTATAACATATTAAATCGAATCCACATAGATTTAATAGGCATTAGCTGTATGAAAACTTAAATAAATAAACCATCTCCAATTCGAGGCCACACTAAGGCCGAGACCAGCAGCGTTTGCCATCTCTTATTTATGCCACTGATAAGTATTATTTAAAAATTAATTTTGATAAATAGTTATTAGTCATTTTAATAATTAATATTTCTTGCTCATAGTTAATAATTCATATAAATTTTAGTTTTCTACATCAGGGGACTCCAAACTTGAGACCCCGACTAAATTCTGAGGGCCACATTGAGACCTCTACCAAAGTCCAGCGGGACATGGCCTGTGGTGAAAAAAAAAAATTATGTTCTATAAATGACGCTTCAGCTCTGAAATGAGATTTCTAAGAGAAAAAAAACATGCAATAAGTGTTGAAGTAATATCGTGTGTGGATGATTAGCTTGATTTCATATTTTTAAATAGTTTTTAAAATTTTACCATGTCATCAAAGAAACTTTCACGGGCCATAGTTTGGACACCCCTGCTCCACATGATTACTCTTTATTCTTTTCAGGATAACACATAAATCTCTTAAGGCTTAGAAATTGAGGCTTTGGAACCAAAAGTGACCGATTACCTCTTATTGAGACCTTGTAATATTTTCTCAAGTTCTTTGTATTGAAAATGGCAATCTTATATGCAATGAATTATTTACTATTTATTTTTCTTCCGACTTCAATCAGTAAATGAGACAATAATGTATGAGTAAATATATATTAAAAAAAATGGTTTTAAATATTACATGTCATTAGTGAGAAAAGTAAAATAATTTTTATTTTGAATAATCAATCAAATAATTTGAACAAAAATAATAAAATAAATTGTCTCGCAGTTTAGCATAAAAAATAAATAAAAAACCATTAAAATGAAACAGATATTAAATTATATTAGAAGTCTTAATAACAGGGAAGATGATCTTGAGGAAGATTTTTCCCTCTCTTTGGATGAATCCTCAAGACAATAATTTGTATTAAGAAAAAAAATTCAATTTGTAAGATAGAGAAATGTTTATCAAGACTTCTTTTTCTGACTTATTCTATAAGCATGTAAAAAAACTTTAAATAATCATTTAAAAATTAATTTTAATAAATAGTTATTAGTCACGTTAGTAATTAATAGTTCCTATTCTTAGTTAAAAATCCATATGAGTTTTATTTTTGTAAATCATTACTAATTATTTTTTCAGAATTAACTTGTAAATCTCTCAAGTCTTAGAAATTGATGCTAAAGCATCAATTATATAAATAACCAAAAGTGACTGATTATCACTTATTAAGACCTTGTAATTTTTTCTGCAGTTCTTTGCATTAAAAAAAAAGGAATCTTAAATGAAATCTCTTCTACAAATGAATTATTTAATTTTTTTCTGACTTAAAGCTTTTATGAAATGGGAATTAAAAACTCATTCATTGGAAGAATGGTTGTCAAGACAAGGATCTCATTTAATTAATCAATAAAATTACACAAAAGCCATTAGTGCAAGTTAGAATAATGGGCATTTAATATAATATAAAAGAATTTTTTCTGATAATCTCTTGACCTTTGTAAATAATACATTTGCAGAACTGAACAAATTGTGGCTTATATAAAATAAAACATTTAGTAATTCCTTTCCTTTCTAACAAAAGATACGAAAACCTCCCCCTTCAACAAAAATGGAAAAGGACTAACAGAGTAACACAGACAGTACCAGTCATCGTAGGATTCAATTTCTGATTGTCACATACATCTATCTATTTTTTTCTCATTTTAGAAACTCAATCTAAAATAATTGAGGCAATCAAGGTTACATTGAAGGAAAGAATGTCAAATAAAAAAGGTATTAAACATACTTTTTAATTTATTTTTTATAATTTACAAGATTATTTAATTCAAAACACTCAGGGAAGGAGCAAAAACTAAACAAAAAATTTCGCTTACCGCTCCACTTTGAATAGAAATTATTTTCTGACAATGTTGGGTATAGCCCATAGCCAACTTTATTATAGATAAAATTTTTGAAGTACATTTTAAACAGAGCTAAAGCTTAAAGCTAACAAATCATTAAGACCTTTAAAATAATAAAAACTCTATTCATTATATCGACAGTAGGCAATAAAAATCTAGTTACTCCATCTGTTTTTTGAAACCGCATAACTTCAGTATATGAGCTATATGTCTCTTCAGTTGAAAGAATGACTAACACCAATTTCAACATGTTTAAGTAATCTCATTTTAGTGATATTTCTAGTTGGAAAAGTTATCTCTATACAGACAATGCATAAGTTGATTTCAGAGTAGGTGGTTGCTGTGTTGAAATATAGAACTGTGAATAAAGGTATAAATTTTCTCCGTAGAAGCATCACTAAAATTAATAATAAAAAATATTAAAATTGGAGTTAGCCATTATGTCAACTAAAAGGCTCATATATGCCTAGAAAGATTTGAAAGTACATCTGAATATTTAACCTATAAATGATATATTGAACATTGGACATTTAAGTCATGTAAGGTAACATCAATGTTGACAAGAGCTAGCTGATAGTAAAGACCGCTTAATAATACACTGATATACCGAGTTTAATAAAAATTGTTAGAGGCATTTTTGAGAAAATCGTAAAAATGTGTATGACCGTTGATATAAAGTGCCACTTCCGATTTGCCGATTTTGAAAAAAAAAGTTGCTGTAATAACCCAACCATACACAAACCTTAAAAAGCAATTTCAGTTTCTTACTACGTTTCGTTTTGAGCAAGAGTGTTCACATACACACACAAGATTTTGTGAGAGTAGGTTATTTGGACTCAAGAGACCTCAAAACGAGTATCTCATGCACTCGGATATATATTTCAGAAAACTTGGATTCAAAAATTTTCACGATCACAATACTGTTCTTTACTATATATTTTATATACAGGTAAGTAAAAGTAAAAATATTAGTTCTAGTATAAATAAAAGCGCCAAAGACAAAACTTTCCCCAAAATGTTTTTAGATTAGTACCATTTGGAATTGAACTATATGTCATATATAATAAATACTCAGCCCACAACAGTTATAAAAATAATATTCATGGTAACACAAAAAAAGTCTACATAACAATAAACTTCACATTTTATTTGAAAACTAAAGGTCATGGTTAGGTACATATCATAGTAAACATGGCCGTTATACTTACAGTATGAGAGTTTCCGACTCATTAATGAGTATTAAATAATTGCCAAAATAAAATTTATAAGCAAACATCAAATTGAGGTAAGTGGCAGACTCATCAATATCAGTATAATGTACAAACATAACAATCATATCACCTGAGTAATTTAAACCTATATTTGGTAAGTTTATGAGATTTAGAATTATCTAGGTAAACATAACTACTACAACAATAGCAGTTGCCTCCATGAGAATGTTTTTAAACTCAAATAGGTATAGTAAACAGATATCTTAAGAAGTTCCCAAGTTTCAATAATACTTATTTTCACTTTATCCAATTTAGTAGAGCAATCCTTTAACTTCTGTTCATAAACGCAACGAACACAACTCTTTGACATAACCAAAAATGAAGACATCCTATAAAAAACAGTTTTAAAAAACAATTTTACTTTTGTAAACACTTAACATAGAAAATCATTAAGAGAAATACAGCATACCTATTGTCGGTTTGCAAAGTGTATTCTATACCTCGAAGAAGATCATTAGTTTTTAAAATCAAAAGCATTTCTCTATTTACATAGTGTAATGTCTCTGTGATCTTTGCCAGAACAAGAGGGATATCATGTTGAAACTGTTCTTTCTAAAATGATATTTAATATGATACAATAGCATCAGTAGATCACATTTAAACTAGTAATAATTTACATAATGATCACCTCTCCAACAGTATGTTTACTCTTAGTGATACCAGATTGGATTGCTGTCCAGCTTCGACCAGCAACCATGCATGCAAAAAGGTCATACAATGAACCAACCCCAAGAGCTTCACCATGTTTTTTCATGCCTTTCATATCTTTATCTAAAATACTAAGCCAAAGACCTGAATATTCCGTCCGTACTTTATCACTGATGTTCTAAAAATGTCAATAAAGTAATCAATTGAAAAATGTATGGTGGATAGTTTTGAACAAATAAAGAATGCTTACAGCGTATAATCCATGGTCCAGGAGAACAATATAGGTTTTCCCATCTTCTTCTTTCTTTACCAATATATTTCCTGGATGAGGATCGCTATGGACAAAGCCATTTCTAAAAATCATTTCGGAGTATAACAAACCCAATTTATCTGATACATCAAAAGGATTAATTTTATTTTTTTTCATATAGTTTATATCATTAACTTGTCCGCCATCTACATACTCCATAGTCAAAACTCGTTTAGTACTCAATTCACTCAAAATATCTGGAATCTAGATTTTGGGGATAAAAAAAACAAAACAAACTATTACAGTATAATGATTAATTTTTAATAAATGCCAATTTTATTTTTAAAAATGGTGTCTTAATTATTCAAATTAGTTACATAAAGATCAACTGGACGGAAATCATCATGGTTGAAAAACAATGTAAATAAATATAGGACAACTGTTGAAAGGTAGCTTACTTAACAATTGATATTAGAAGTGTTGAAAATGTTATCTGATCAAAATAATAACTTTCCTTAATCCTTTTAAAAAACTTTAATACCATTAGAAATAATCCTTGCAAACCACAGAGGAGCAGTTAAGAAATTTGAGAAGCTTCAGCAGATTAGAGGTTGATAACACTATTGTCATTTAAGTAGGGCATAGAATACCATCCTACCTGAAGTGCTTGGTTTTGATAAAACATAGTAGGTATCAACAGGGATTTCATAATATCATATCAGGTAATTAGCTACAGCTTCACCAGTATTAGCATACTGCTAAATGTAACGACAACTACACACTAGTGACGAACCATTTGTCTAACAACTAGTTAAATATTTGTAAAGTATGAAATTTTTTTTTGGTCTGATTTTAAAACCAAAATCAGCAGATAGGATTATTATGAAATGCTGGAAAGTATTCCCTGCATTAAGTAATGATAATGGATAGAGCTTATTAGAGTTTGCTGTAGCCTGTAGTTTTAAGATTTAAAGCTTGTTTTTTGAACATAAACATGTATATTTGGACAAGGAAACTTCTAAGTGGCAGCATCAATCAAATTTGTATTTAACCGAGATACACACCTCTAGTTTCATCTTTTTAGGAACACATTATCAAATGTTCAAAAGGGCAATGTTGAATCAAATGACATTATAGAGGGATGGAATAGTTTGAAGACAATTATTGAAGAGATTGCTGATCAGGTACTAAGAAAATAGGTCCCCAAAAGAAGTAGTGAATGGTTTGATAAAGAGGCAAGTAATTTTGCAAAGAGATACCAGAGACAACTGAGAAAAATGCCTTATTACCAGAAGAAATAAGGAGATAGAATAGTTGAGGAAGACAACTGATGATTGAGAGAAAATGAATGTTGAAAAATCCAAGATTTACAATTACCCCTGTTTATGCAAAGATAGTTCCGATTCTCTCGTTGCGTCAAGTGGTGGGGGTAGATCAGAAGACTAAAAGATAAGATTTAATCCATACCAGCTCCCAGTACGACTGCTACATTCTATCCCAGATTGCCACGGAGGCAAGACTACCAGACTTGAGGGCCCTCAGGTAAAAGAGATGTCTATACCAGCATACAAATGATAAGCTGTTTTTGCAAAATTCGTGTAAACTACCAATAAATTAAAATACAGTCCACGGCCTAAATAATTTGAATGTTGCCTATTGACAACTCATGGAGAGTTATTTGCCTTGCCTTGATTAAAATTTGGAAAGTTGCCTAAACACCTCCCATCAACGGAAATGCTGACTTGCGAAAAACTGCTATTATTTTTATTCTCCAAATATCTTTTAATGTATTGTTCTGACTTTTCTTTTTTGTTTACTGTTGTAAATCAGCTAATTTGAGACCAATACATATGAAAAATTCAAATTCTCAATTGGTAAGTACTCTGACATCTGAGATCTGTAACAAAAATCTGGAGTTCACGAAAGTGCCAGCCTTAGGGGCGGGCAATACAGGCAATAGCCATGGGGCAGCCTGCAGGGGGACATCTGCTAGTTGTTTTGGATAAAATAAAAAATTACATAGCGTTCCATAATAATTAATTTTAGCCTATCAATTACACAACTGAATTAGAAACATATAGGGGCAGGGTGGCTGAATGGGCTTACCGAAGTTATGAGATTAAAAAATAGTATGAGTTCATGTTCCAGTGCCAGAGGGGATTTTAAATTCCCTGCCCTCACCCTCCGGCCCGGAAAAATCTTATTTTATTAGGAAATTCTGCCCTATAAAGCACTAAATATGTTTAACAGCAGTTTATGATTCCTGCTCTGTTCTGAAAAGCATGAATATGACAGGAAATATAACAATAAGCATTATAATTTTAATTATTAGGTTTTTAAAAGTTATTCCTAAATATAATATTTTCTATTTATCATTATCATTATCAGATAACAACTCAGCCTGAAACATGAAGTCTTCATAATGAATTTTGTGGTCAGTATATTGAATCTATAATAATATAAGAATAATAGAGGCTTATGCAAAGGCAGCAATATTAATTTTAAAATACATACTAACATAAGGCATAATATTTATCCCATATAAGACAAAATCAAAATAATAAAGCAGACCAATATTAACAGAGTAAATTATACTTACTTTGAGCCATGAAAAATGTTGAAACATTTTTTTTACTTTCATTGTATTCTTGGCTTCCTCTGAGAAATCTAACTCACGTGGAATATTTTTTTTACTTTCTTCTACAAGCCATTTGAACTTGAATTCAGGAAACACCCATGCCATTATATTGATTAATACCTTAGATCAAAATTCCATTCAGTATCTTATCTGGAAAATTACAGACTAATATGTTTGCTAAATTAGTGATAAAAATTTATCCCAATAAAAGTGCTGCACTATTTTATGTGAGCACCTTTAACTAATAACTATTTTAAAGTAATAAAAAAGATATATGCAAAAGTAAACATAGGTAATAAATCATTAATTAATACACCATATATGATCAATAACAATACATGCTTGAGAAAGTATCAAGATTTCATTAATTTAGGCTTGGTGATTACATAAATAAATGTATACCATTAGAAGTAAGAATAATAATGGGAGAGAATTGTCATCAATTTGAATTGTGTTCTCAATTACCAAACAATCGTGTGGCCTGATGGTTGTAACAAAAGATATGAAAGATGCTGAATCAACTAGAAAAACATGGCTAGTTATGGTTCAGGAACTTGGATAACTACCAAGTCCAAGTTCTGAATACTTCTTACTTTTAAAAGAAATTTAGGAACCTCCACATTTATGGAACTGTATGTAGTATACAGAGAGGTGGCATTGAAACAACGAGCAATAGAACATGAATGAGGAATGAAGCTTTACACAGGCTAAGCAGGGAAAGTTAGATGGGTGGTGGTTGCTCATGTACCCAACAAACCGAATCCTATGGAGAAGCTCAGACCAAGGAAATCTGCCAATTGATTATGTCTACCCTGTTTAAATGTCACTAAAATTCAGATAGCTTGATGGATTAGATATGACCCAATGGGCTGACATTCTTGTAGAGATTATATTAATAAATTCCTACCTGAATTACTCATCCAATAAGCAACAAGTTGCTAGACCAAGCATGAACTGCAGACAACACACCTAATAATTCAGAAACATAACAGAATTGTGACAGCACAAATAGAAATGCATGACAACTGTTGTTCAATAATTAGAACCTAGAACAGAACTGAATGATGATTATGACAAATGCCTTGGTAAGATCAGATATGGATTTTAAAATTCTCTATAAGAATTTCAGTTTTTGGAAAAATTGCAAAATCTATCTAGAAAAAGTAAAAAAAGATCCAATATCTATTTTAATGACCAAAATTTACCGTTGGAGGAATTCAAATTATTCACCAGAACTACAAAAACATAGTTTTTCACAAAGACAAGAGCCCATCGATTTTCTGCCAGAAAACATTTTGCTTGACCCATCCCCTAATATATAACAATGATAAATTTTATCATGTACTGTACAGAAAAATATGTTTATTCATAGAATACCTAAAGATACTATTTCACTTGTACTGGCAGTTGAGTACTGCTTTGAGGGAATACAATGAAAGAGAATAGAATTGACCATATTTCTATGGTCACAGGTAACAGTTTGATAAGTAGAAAGATGGTCCTCATGAATTACATATTTTGTTATCGTCTTCCAAGTCTTCTTTACAGTGTGCAGATACAAGACAACAACTAAACATGTTGACCATTTTTATACTTACAGAGTTACTCCCTGTTACTACAGATCTCATTGAAATCACTCAACAGTCTAGGTATGACATCATCCCCATACTGCTTTGTACCAACTGCTCCAGAACCAGTCAAGCTGTTGGTAGTACGACAGGACAGTTCTTAGTTATCATATCGAAGAAGAGTTTTGCTGATAACTATCACATTGCAACGTTTTATTTAATTTTTCTTTGCATAAAGTTGGATAAAATTAAATTTAAATTTAAACAAAACTATAGGAAATCATTTTTGTAGGATTGAAGTTACAAGAGTATTTTTTTGTTTGAATTACAATAGTCTTCTCATAATAATAGACCAAAAAATGTGTACAAATTACTATAGGCTGTATCTTTGCTAATAATGGTCTGATTTTGATGATTTTTTTTTTTAAATTTTATTGTTTTGTAGGCAATTTAGTAACCTTTTAAATAACCATGGGTGCAATACACCATAAACCACACACTTTTTGAGTTATGCACAAATACATTTTATTTTTCTTCTTAACTTTTTCCACAGTAATGTCGAGAAGGTGTGACTATTTTGCCTGAAGAAGAAGATAATCTTCAAAATGATGTTCAAGCATAGGATTTAATGAAAAATTAATGAAAATATGGTACACCATCAAAGAAAAAAACCTTTGAGAAATAATATAAAGATATTTTAATTTTTATGTGATTAGGAATCCATGGCAACAGTGGCATTAAGATTCATTATCGCTAGTATGAGGTTGGGCCCATGCGTTTTCTCAAAATTAGAACATTTTAGGACTTTGAAATGCTGCTGAAAATGGATGAGTATCAAATCATGTTCATATATGACTCTCTTGCTCAAACGACATATTTATGTCTAAAATGCAAGGAAATCAATTGCTGATGAAAAATTTGTTTTTTCTGAGTGTTTATTTCATGATGATTCATTATTAATTATATTGAAACCGAGAAATGCGTTTAAAATATAAATTTAATTTTCTTTACAGCAATGTTTCAATTTAATCACTATTATTTAATTCCTACCATTGCAATTATAGATGTTGCTTAATAATATAAAAGAATAAAGGGGATATTGACTATTATTGCTTAAAAAAATAAAAATTATGTTTATTTTGAACTTGATTTCCTTACACAGAAGCATAAGTTTTGATTAACAACTGATAACATATTTTGAAAAGTTTCTTCATGCTCTAAGTGATTTATAAAAAGAAGTGAATGTGATGGAAAATCAAGCTAACTTAACCTAAATATTCCAAAGGGTTGGAGATTAGTTGTTTAGGTACAGTTTCGGATACCATCGGGATGTTTTAGGATTCAACCTAAAATGTGCTCAAAGCTCTCTTGATATCAGATGCCATTATGAAAAGAGTGATTTGAAACTAGTACGATTAAAATTAATTCATAATGCTCTTAGTGCTAGACCAAACAAGGAGAAAGGAATGACCCAGGTTGAGATGGATCGACAGTGTGGGTGTAGACACGAGGACAATAAGTCATCAACAGAACTGAAAGACAGCAGCAAACGGAGCTAGATGACAGAAGCTCTTAGAAGAGGCCAAGCCCCACCGCGGATATTTTTTATTTATACCCTTCTTGGCCAATACGGATTTTGGTGAGGTTATAAATAATATATCTATCACACTACCCTTGCCATTTAGACTTTAGTGCTACAACTGAAGTCCACACCTTTAGGAAATTTGTCCATTATGGATTGCCTTCTGCCACCTCCTCTCTTCGCCTAGGGGCTCCAAGGTTAAAGTGTTCTGGTCCCACAGTCGTCTTCCACTTATACACGAACTCTCAGTTTGGTACTTTTCTTTTTTCATGAGGATGGGGAAATCACCTTCCATTATAACAAACAAACCCGTTTTCCTCCTTAGCGTGTTCCTAAGTCCTTCAAAGCCAGTGCAGGTCATTACAGGTTTGACAATTTCTGGAACGTGGCACTTGGGATATAGGAGGTCGACGTCCTTGCCAAAATTGTGCAGTTTGGCCAGACGGAACCTACTAATCCTGAGAGGACCTATTTTGCCCTTAATCGCAAGTTTACAGTCGAGAAGAACTTTCTTAAGGTCACTCCTTTCAGGGTTATCAACCATCATCGATTTCATTCTTCAACGGTGTCCTCCGGGATTATCTGTTTCCATCTATTGGATTCATCTGTGATCCTCACTCATAGACACTCCGAAATCCCTGCTGAGCTTTCTCTCTTAAAGCCAAACACTGTAGCATTTTCAAGCAGGATAAGGTTGAGAGGCATCCCTCCTGCCAAGACTTGCACTGCCTCATGTGATACAGTCCTATAGGCCTTAGTTACCCGCAGCAGAACCGTTCTCTGTATCATCGCCAACCTGTTCTACTGCTTTTCTGAGGGGTTACGGTACCAGACAGGAGACGTGTACCTCAGAATACCCTCCCTTACTCCTTTATAGATTGCTATTGTTGCCAGGTATCTGAAACCTCAAAGAGCGCCCCCAATTTGACTGAGCCCATTCAGTGAGATGTTGACCCACCTCGGATAGTGGAAGCCATCAAAGTAAGTAATTATCATACATTACAGCATTACTTTCAACTTCAGCTCACTCAAAAAGTATAAACAAATCTCCCCAACATGTCCTTTACAGTTGAGGTCAGGATTTTACTAGACAATTCGGTCATCTCTACCTATTTTCAGACATACTCAGCCATTCTCGGCATTCCATTTACAGTATGATCATGAGATCTTGTGCCAACCAACAATATGGAGCAACAAACACTTGTACAGTAAATCATAATAAATATATATACTAATAAATATATTATAATATATGATTACCTCCATTGTTTTCATATCAACAATGGAATTTCCCCTAACAAAAGGGTGTTGAACCTTGACAGCAACAACTCTTCCATCTTTTAGTTTAGCACGATGTACTTGGGCCAGGGATGCAGTCCCTAAAGGTTCTGAATCAAATTCAATGAATAATTCAGAAGGCTGAAAATACAAAATTAATATAAAAATAATAATATATAAAAATATAATATAATAATAATAATATAATTAATTAATACACAATTACTAAATTAGTAATTTAGTAGTTATGAAGATTATCTATAGCTATAAGATTTATTTACATCTTTATGTAAGTCTTCTTTTATTACTGAATAAATATCCTTCAAAGGCGACTGTGGTGCATGACTGTGCAATATTTTCATGGTTTCAACATATTCAATTGGCAATAAATACTCTAACGAACCAATATGCTGGCCAACCTTTATAAAGACTCCTTTATTTATGCAACATAGTTCTAAAAGCTTTAAAGCAGCTTCCTTGTGAGTCTACAATCAATATTAATTATAACACACAAATTAATTAAATTGTTATTCATAATAAAAATAATTTTGTGAAATAATATCGATAAACTAACCCTGGACCTTAAATTGAAATATTCTAAAGACTGTGGATCTAAATTTGTTTGATACAACTGTTTTCTGTAGTGCAAGCCTATAGCAAGGGCCTAAAAGATGGAAATGCTCTTTAAAAATGCATCTGAGGTACAATAATTTGATGAAAGAAAAATAAATACTAACAGTTGCAGCTGCTCTGCCGAAACGAAGCAAACCTATGGCTTCAAAGTTATACATGTTGGCCTTATAAGAAAAAGCAGTTCCAACTAATCCTCCTCCAATGATAGAATACTTCAAAATCTGTCTGGTAGTCCACATATTTCTCAAATTTCAAAATAGTACTACTCTAACAGCAAACGCACCACCTTTCAAAATTTAATACCCATACCTTATTAATAAATTGATTCAAACATATTAATTTTAAAAAGAATAGTTGATCCAAACAGAAACAACAACCAGGATAAAATTAAAGACATTAACAAAATATCCAAATAACCTTCCCGTTTTTAAACAGGGCAATGCTTATGCGTAGTTCATGAAGAAAAGCTGTTCCATAAATATCGAAACAGCGAGTATCTACAATAAATGAGAAATAAGTAAATATTTAAAGAACAGTACAAAAATGACAGTCAAGATTAAAAAGGACGTTCATAAATTGTTTGCCAATGTTGAACTTAAAAACTTTAATCTTTGCTTTTCCTTTTATTCAATAATATTGTTTAAAACAATATATGCAGAAAGCCAACTCAGTTTCAGAACAGACTTGTAACGTCTCGTTTTATGCTAATTTTCATTTTATAGAAGTAAAATTTTTAATCCTCACTATTTAGGGAAAGTATTGTAAGAACAAACAAATTTAGAGAAATACATCATAATGATTTTAGTTTTTGTTTTGTTTTGATATCTGCAAAAATACTTGAGTTAACGGTAAGTAGCAAATGCTGATACCAACTCTTAGTACCAACAGCGATGAAGAATTTAATAGTTATAAACTTTAACTTCAATTTCATAATTTTTCATTCAGTCTCTTTTGTGACCATCAAAATCAAAAATAGCCGAAAACGACTTTTGAACGTTTTTGAAAGTTCGTAAAGAAAAAGGAGAAGATTGAAATTTTAGCAAAATTTACAAATTGTAAAAAATTGTACACTGATTGAACTGTAGAGCGAAAAAAGATCAAAGGCGAATCTATTTTCATTAGTGATAATTATCACACTTCTAAAGCGCTAAAAGTCTCATTTGTTGACAATTTTCATCATTTTGTAAACCATTTTTCTTTTTTTTAAGGTGATGTATTTATAAACAGAAATGTAGAAAAAATACTCATCATTATTCCAGTTTTTATTTCCGTTTGATGTCTACAAAAGTACCACAGTTACAGGCCCTAGCGGATCTAGGATTTAATTTTTTTTTGGGGGGGGCTTCAATCCCAAGAATTTTTTATATATATATATAACAATAATTAATTTGAAAAAAATAAAGAAACTAACTACCTATATGACATGGTGTTTTAGTGATTCTTGAAGTCCTATTAAATGTAATTATACGAACAATAATAGTTAAAGAGACAGTTTTTAATATTTTTTTCTGTAAAACATTGTTATATTTTACCATCTTGGGGGAGGGGCTTCAGCCCGAAAGCCCCTCCCCCCCTCGTAAATCCGCCTGTTGTTACAGGAATCTTCCCAAAATATGTTTTAAATCGAAAAGCAAATTCAAAATGGCCGCCTAGAATAAACTGTGAGCCTTACTTTTTTTTACCTACGTTTTTTAACTCTCAAATAAATATGGCATAACTGGTAAAAAAAGTCGAGCAACAAAATTAATTCGAATTGGGTGATTTCAAATGGATTGACCTGGGATATTTATTCTAGTTGCCTTGGTCTTCCTTCTGCTTTTTTTGCTCCTGTGACTTCTGAAGGGCGAGCTGTGTCCAAGCCTCCACTCGCTAATGGTTTCACTTTCCTGGAGCATTCAGCCTTAGATATTTGGTGTAGAGGTGCCATACATTTTCCTAAAAGAGCCTAGATAACTTTTATTACAGGTCTCGCCTATAATTTTTACAAGCATGTAGTGAACCCTCTATGAAGAAAGTACTCCAAGGATCGCCCTCTTGACTAGGGCAATGGTAGAACTCATCCATAGAACCCTGGAAATACCATAACATAAATCCTTTACCTCAAGACCTATTGGACCTTATCCATAGCAAAAGTTGTTCTAGGGCCCTTTGGCAAAGAACCAGGCATCCTGATGACCGGAAATTGTATAATTATTATCCAAACAGGTAAAAAAGAAACTGGATACCTTTAGAACCCAATCCTACAATTCCTACCTCTCCTCATTATTCGCTAGTGATAACTCCCTCTGGAATGTAACCAAAAAAATCCTTAAATTCCAGTCCATTTCCCATCCACTTCGCCGTGATGATGGTTCCTGGGCTTCGTCAGATGCGAATAGAGCAGAAGAGTTTGCTAAACATCTATCCTACACATTCACCCCTCATCCCGAACTCCATCCGACCCACACTGCTTTAGTTGAAGAATTTCTCTCTTCACCAATTCCTCTAACTCCACCTCCGAAACCTGTTAACCCATCTGAGGTCAAATTCCTTATAAACAAATTAAAATCCCGAAAATCCCCTAGATATGATCTCCTCACTTCACAAATCCTCAGACAATTTCCCAAAAAAGCAATCATATTCCTTACCTATCTATACAACTTCATCCTTCGTACAACCAACTTTTCTTTTGGAGTGGAAACACTCCATAATCATCCTGTTTCCAAAACCAGGTAAACCTGTTAATAACACATCATTCTATAGACCAATAAGCTTACTCCCGATCCTCTCAAAAATCTTTGAGAAAATCCTTCTCAAACGCATCCTACCCATAATAGAATCCCACAACATCCCTTCTCATCAGTTTGGATTCCGCTCAAGACATTCCACTGTCCAACAAGGCCTTCGTGTTGTGGACCATATATCCTCTGCACTTGAAAACAAGCATTATTGCACTGGTGCCTTTATGGGCGTAGCGCAAGCTTTCGACCGGGTGTGGCACGATGGCTTGCTTTTCAAGATCAAAAGCCATTTACCCCAATCCTTATACCCAAATCCTACTTCTCAAATCTTTCCTTTCAAGTCCGTTGTGACACCGAATTATCCACTTACTATCCAGTTGAGGCTGGTGTTCCACAAGGCAGTGTCTTGGGCCCAGTTCTCTACATCCTCTTCACTTCCGATATCCCTTCAAATCCCGATACATTTCTAGCTACATTTGCTGATGATACTGCCATTCTATCCTCCCACTCAGATCCTCAAAAAGCATCTCTAAACCTACAATCTCACCTCTCCTTGATTGAGTAGTGGTGCAACAACTGGCGCATCAAAATCAATGAATCAAAATGCAAACATATCACTTTCACCCTGCGACGCAGATCCTGTCCGTCAATCCTTTTTAATTCAATTTGACTTCCCTACTCAGACACAGTCCGTTACCTTGGCTTCCTTCTAGAAAGAAGACTAACTTGGAACCCACATACCAGACTTAAAAGACAAGAACTTAACCGACAATATGGCCAGCTGTATAGATTACTAAGTAGGACATCTCACCTTTCGATTGAAAATAAACTTTTAATCTACAAGACCATACTGGACCTACGGACTTGAACTGTGGGGAACTCATAAAAATTTGATTATCAAATGCATCCAATCCTTCCAATCCAAAGTACTTAGAACGATAGTCAATGCTCCATATTATGTCACAAATAAGACCCTACACCATGACCTTAACATCCCATTTGTCCTCGACATCATCCCATCCAGATTATCAAACTTTCACCAGAACCTTATCCATCATTCAAATCCTCTAGCTCAATCCCTATTCAGCTCCGAGCATCCATACCACCCCCCTCGAAGGTTGAAACGGCAGTGGCCTCGTGACCTTTTGTAAATAAGCCTTTGTAGTCCAGGCAATGACCAGCTTCTCCACTCATGTCCTGAGCGTCTGTGTCTCTAGTGCCCTCTTTCAGAAATTAAAAAACATCAAATCGTTCGTTGAAAGAGTACCTAAACTTGATAATTTAATTAAGTGGTATGGTCGATAACCATGGTCAAATTTCAACACAGTCAATCGGTTTTTTTTTAGCACTTTTATTTATTAATCCGCACCTGTCAATTACAACCATCGACAATCAGCAGATGAGATGGCACAATCATAAGATAAAAAAAAGGCTTGATAGGCATGAGGAAAAGCAATACCCAGCGGCATCCCTTCCATGGCTTTTACTTACATACAATTATGTAAGTACGTCCCTCATCCAGATCCTTTTCAGTCGTCTTCTGGAGTTCTCCGGCATAATAGTAGTGGCCATTTCTTTAATTAGCTGGTAATTTATTATGAAATCGTTTGTAGTAAGTTCGTATGTGTTCATTGCTCGTTGGCATATATAAGTCAGAGTGTAAAGTGTTGTTATTCGCGTACCAGGGTGCTTGGGTAATTAGTCGTAATATCTTAGACTGAAAAGTTTGAAGTCGTTTTATGTGTGTTGGTTTTGCAATTCCATATATTTGTAGTCCATAAGTCCAGAGAGGTTTCAATAGATATGTATAAATATTTAATTTCTGTCTTGCTTTTAATTTAGAATGTCGTCTTAATAATGAGTGCAACAGTTTTAATCTGTGATTTAATGATGGACGTTTTTCTTTACATGTTATTCTTCTGTCAAACGTCAGGCCTAGGTATTGTACTCTATCTGTTCGTGGAATCGGTATGTTGTCTAAATACACAGCAGGACATGTTTCTTGTCTTTGGGTAAATGTGATGTGTTGTGACTTTTGATAATTTATTTGAGTTTTCCATAGTTTACACCAATCGTTTATTTTTTGTAAATGATGTTGTAGGTTAAGTGATGCCTGTGTAGGATTATCGTGTCTAGTAATGATAGCAGTATCGTTTGCGTAGGTTTCTGTAAGGATGTGGATACTTTAAGAAATGTCATGTGTGTATGTGATGTACAGTAATGGGGCTAAGATCCATGGTCAATGAACGCTAATTTTTACCGATATTGTCAAAATCTGAGAAGGATTACTGTAAAGATGCTACAGCTTGGAAATGAGTTCTCTAAGAAAAAAAAACAGAATAATTTCCGATTCCGATCATAATCCGATTTCGATCAAATCGGCGACCAAATAATAATTACATTCCTTTGATAAAACGTTCCCAACAACAGCTTTTTAAATAAAAGAACAACACATTCTAATGAGAAATATACAAGTTATTATCGTGACCAGTTTCGCATGGATTCTTCAAGGAGATAGT